GAAGGCAGATGCTGTCTGTTAGAGGGCTCCTGCAGTATGAAAGCATTACCAAACCACAAGGCAATGTGATCTTTCTTTAGCCATATGAGCTCCCGTGTGGCCCTGAAACAGTAGAGTTTGTCATGGGAAAATGCTGAAGTATACTTGCGCCAGCAAAAGCCAGCAGTGAACTAGACTGGCTGTCAGGTGCCATGACAGAGAAGGGCTTGGCTAGAGGGCTGTGAGCCATGGTGGTCTTGAAATTGAAAGGAGCAAAGTAGAAGTGATGAAATAAACAGCAATTAACATCAGCATTGACTGAAAAGTTTTAGGCTGGGAAAGTCAGAGGTATCAGGCCAGAAAGATGTTGTACTCTAAGGTACAAAGAGGGGAAACTGAATTGCAGAGCTATGGGGCACTGAGCCCAGCAGCAAGAAGGCATGGGCACACCCAAGGTCAGTAAATATCCCCAGACCCATGCTAGCATCCTCATCCCTGCAGAGCTCTTCCCCATGTTCACAGACCTTTGGCCTCTTTCTCCTTTCAAGAAGGTGGTATGGTCTGTCTGCCCCTCCAGAGACCACTGTGCATGGCAATGACAGAATGACATACTTTCACATCCTTCCTCTGCAAGGCAGAAAGATCTGGCACAATGCTCAAAATTGTTTGTTCTTAGCAGGGCTGTGTTTCACACAAAGAATGCGGCAATAGATTTTAAACGTAACAAATGTTCTCTCTCACCAAGATGGATCATCTCCTGAATAAAAAGTTAGGCTGAAAAAATTGAATGTTCATTTGTACCAAATGATTGAGGAATCACTTAGCAAATAAAAATGAAAAAACCCACCCCAAACCAAAAAACACACACCCCAATCCCCACCTTTTTCACACAACGCATTTAAAGGCTGCCTGTAAACAAACCAAATCATAAACCAAAACTTTCTTGTACCTTTACATGCACAAGTACTGTTATCATTGATTTTTTTCTGAGATACAATTAATAAAACGAGTGATATTTCTGTTGAACAACGAACTGCTTGCACATGATGTAGACAACTATGTTATATTTTGAACTAAAGCAAAACCCAACAATTAGATTGTAGATATAATTGTCCTAGGAAGAGTCAAAGAAGGAGTTTTTCCTATGAGCTGTTGTTAGGAGATTAGGATCTTCCCTTTCTCTACAAGATGCATTAACCTTTGCCGCAACTCGTTGTGCAAGTACAATTCTTCTTTTGATCCATTAGCAGAATATGCAGCAAGTAGGTCTATCTCACTGCCAGGCTTAGTCACATTAATCCTGGCACTTGTCATTAGGCATTTACATGCAATGTTATCCATCCTCTGTGTGTTTTGCTAGACAACAGAGGGTAAGAATACATATTTATCACTAAGGATAAGCAAATTCTTACTCTATTGAGCACTCCTGTACTTGAACTGAGCCCCGTGAGCCACATGTCTAATTTGATTGCAGTGTGGGTAGACATTGCCAATATCTCAAAACTGGTTTCTTGAGACAAATTCTGTTTCTCGTAAGATTTGTAGTATTGTTTTGAAGTTTCTGTTAGTGCTAAGGAAAAGTGACAGCTGAAACTTTTGGATTCAAAAGCATAACTCACCCAGCAGAGTGCACAAAAGGTGCCTGCCTAAATTAACCCTGTTACCAGTGGCAGCACTAGGATGAAATTCTTAGTTGTTGTCCTTCTTTTTGTTGTTTCTGTAATCTAATCATTATGTAAAATATAGTTTTTCACCCACATTTCCAACTTCCTCAAAATAATTGGATTACATTTTTAAGCCAGCTTAACACTTCTTTTAGCTTAAATAAAAGACATAATAAAAGGAAACATTGCAACAGAAGGGTATTCACCTCATTATTTTTGAAAGCAGATTTTACGCATAAGCATCACTACTGCAGAAACACGTAAAATGTAGATAAGGCATCCCAGTGCATCACTTTGCATTTTCTTTTGCCTGTTTGAAAGAAAAGTGTCTTTGGAAGTGTTTACAGCCCAAATCCTTCCCTTTGTAAGAAGAGCTACCGTGTGGCCAGTTATTAGCATTCAGAGGGAGAGAAGCACAGAAATGTCAGATACTACCAAATAGCTGGGGACCCAACCATGTTCTCTAATAAAGTTCCCTTCACCTGTGATATTTTAGATCAGAAGCTTTGACAGATGCTTTGGCAGGGACAGATGACGAGTGAGTTGAGAGTCTGTGGGTGAGAATTAAGGGGCAGGCTGGCAGGGGGGATACTGTTGTAGGTGTCTGTTACAGACCACCGGATCAGGGTGAGGAAGTTGACGAGGCCTTCTACAGGCAGCTGAGAGAGGCCTCACAGTCACAGGCCGTGGTCGTCGTGGAGGATTTTAACTTCCCTGATGTTTGCTGGAAGGACCACTCGGCAACCCAGCCGCAGTCCAGGAGGTTCCTCCAGTGTGTGGATGATAACTTCCTCCTGCAAATGGTGGATGAGCCGACCAGGAGAGGAGCGCTGCTGGATCTCATCCTCGCTAACAAGGAGGATCTGGTTGAAGCAGTAAGGGTTGAGGGCTGCCTTGGTTGCAGCGACCACGAGATGGTGGAGTTCAGGATCTTGTGTGGTAGGACTAGTAGAATAGCAAGTAGAATTGCAACCCTGGACTTTAGCAGGGCAAACTTTGGCCTTTTCAAGCAATTGCTAGGGGAAATCCCATGGGCAAGGCTGCTTGAAGGTAAAGTGGCCCAAGATAGTTGGTTGGCATTCAAGGATTGCTTTTTCCGTGCTCAAGATCGGAGCATCCCGACATGTAGGAAGTCAAGGAAGAGGGCCAAGAGACCTGCGTGGCTAAATAGGGAATTGCTGGGTATGCTCAAGTGGAAGAGGAGAGTTTACAGGTCATGGAAGGAGGGGCTGGCCACTTGGGAGGAATATAAGGCTGCTGCTAGAGGATGTAGGAAGACAGCTAGGAGGACTAAGGCATCCTTAGAATTAAACCTGGCGAGAAGGGTCAAGGAAAGCAAAAAGAGCTTTTTCAAATACATGGCAGACAAAACTAACACCAGAGGCAATGTAGGCCCACTGATGAACGGGATGGGTGCCCTGGTGACAGAAGATACAGAGATGGCAGAGTTACTGAATGCCTTCTTTGTCTCTGTCTACTCTGCTGCAGGCAGTCCTGAAGAGCCCTGTACCCCTGAGACCTTAGATGAAGTGAGGTCGACGGAGCGGTTTGCCTTAGTCGATGAGGAATGGGTTAGAGATCAGGTGAGCAATCTGGACATCCATAAATCCATGGGTCCAGATGGGATGCACCCGCGGGTGCTGAGGGAACTGGTGGAAGTCATTGCTAGACCGCTCTCCATCATCTTTACCAAGTCTTGGAAAACGGGAGAGGTGCCTGAGGACTGGAGGAAAGCAAATGTCACTCCGGTCTTCAAAAAGGGCAAGAAGGAGGACCCGGGTAACTATAGACCGGTCAGCCTCACCTCCATCCCTGGGAAAGTGATGGAACACCTTATCCTTGGTGCCATCTTTGTGTTAAGGCATATCAAGGATAAGAGGGTTATGAGGGGCAGTCATCATGGCTTCACCAAGGGGAAATCATGTTTGAGTGAACAAGCTACCTGACTGGGTTTAAACCACGACACCTTGGTGCCATCTTAAGGCATATCAAGGATAAGAGGGTTATGAGGGGCAGTCAGCATGGCTTCACCAAGGGGAAATCATCTCTTAGCCTTTTATGAGGAAATAACACGGTGGATGGATGATGGCAGAGCGGTGGATGTGGTCTACCTTGACTTCAGCAAAGCATTTGACACAGTCTCCCACAGCATCCTCACAGCTAAATTGAGGAAGTGTGGTCTGGATGATCAGGTAGTGAGGTGGACTGCGAACTGGCTGAAGGAGAGAAGCCAGAGAGTTGTAGTCTATGGGGCGGAGTCTAGTTGGAGGCCTGTAACTAGTGGAGTGCCTCAAGGGTCAGTACTGGGACCGGTATTATTTAATATATTCATCAACGATTTAGATGAGGGAATTGAGTGTACTATCAGCAAGTTTGCTGATGACACTAAGCTGGGAGAGTGGCTGACACGCCAGAAGGCTGTGCTGCCATCCAGCGAGACCTGGACAGGCTGGAGAGTTGGGCAGGGAATAACTGGATGAAATATAACAAGGGAAAGTGTAGAGTCCTGCATCTGGGCAGGAACAACCCCAGGTTCCAGTATAGGTTGGGAAACAACCTGTTAGAGAGCAGTGTAGGGGAGAGGGACCTGGGGGTCCTAGTGGACGACAGGATGACCATGAGCCAACACTGTGCCCTTGTGGCTAAGAAGGCCAATGGCATCCTGGGGTGTATTAGAAGGGGGGTGGTTAGTAGGTCGAGAGAGGTCCTCCTTCCCCTCTACTCTGCCCTGGTGAGACCCCATCTGGAATATTGTGTCCAGTTCTGGGCCCCTCAGTTCAAGAAGGACAGGGAGCTGCTGGAGAGAGACCAGCGAAGGGCAACAAAGATGATTAGGGGAGTGGATCATCTCCCTTATGAGGAAAGACTGAGGGAGCTGGGTCTCTATAGTTTGGAGAAGAGGAGACTGAGGGGTGACCTTATTAGTGTCTATAAATATATAAAGGGGGAGTGTCACGAGGATGGAGCCAGGCTCTACTCAGTGGCAAACAATGATAGGACAAGGGGTAATGGGTACAAACTGGAACACAAGAGGTTCCACTTAAACTTGAGAAGAAACTTCTTCTCAGTGAGGGTGATGGAACACTGGAACAGGCTGCCCAGGGAGGTTGTGGAGTCTCCTTCCCTGGAGACATTCAAAGCCCGCCTGGACACATTCCTGTGTAACGTTATCTAGGTGTTCCTGCTCTGGCAGGGGGATTGGACTAGATGATCTTTCGAGGTCCCTTCCAATCTCTAGCATACTGTGATACTGTGATTTCTAGCAGTTTAATATACTATACCTCTCCCTCCCCCAACAAAATACCCTAAACCGCAAACCTAAACAGAAAACTCCCCAAACACCCTCATAACCAAAGCCAAAGAGGTTTTTACTAACTGGCAGATGAAATATTTTTGTTCATTTTGGTATTTAATTTGCTTCATGGTGTCGCTACTCCTCCATGGACCAATCACCAACCACGGTTATGCAACACTTTATTAACACACAGTGCACAACACACCTTTCCAGGATCAATGAGATCCCCCGGTCAGATTCCTTTTCCAATACCATAGTAGATCCACTGTCTCCTTCCAGCTTACTTTGTTTTGGGGTTACCTTGATTGTTTGTAGGCTTTGACAGATGTTGTATGCCAGAAAACCTTTACAAAGAGAAAAAAGTTGAGTTAATGTTGGCATGTTGGCTGACCAAAGTGACGCAGACTGGTCCTGTATCAGAGATGTGTCTCCACTATATATCTACTCTTTCTTTACTTATTAATAATATTCCCACATGAATGGCTGTGTTATTGTGCCTGGTATCAACTTATTAGCCTGTATTTATTCAGATCATTACACCTTTCCTTTGAAAATAACTGTGCAACAGTGGTCTTTCCTTCTATTCCCAGCACTTTTGAATTTCAGTAGTTATTAAAATGCTGTCAGCTATTGCTCTCCAGGCAGTGCCTTGAAAATCTATATGAAAATTATAGAGAGCTTCTGGTTTGATGTTTAAATTCAGTAGATACTATTTTAAATGTTGTATTTAGATGTTAAAAACAAACCCTCAAACATTCGATAAATATTTCTCTTCTGCCTTTAAAACAAAGCCCTTAAGTGTTACACTTCTGACTATTCATTGACATTTCCAAATTGCCACCTGACAGAAAGAGATTTGTAATGGTTACTGGGATGTCTTTTGCCACTGCTGAATAGTTAAAATTGAAAGTTTTTGTCCCAAAACCACACTGTAATAAAAATTTCATTGAAATATTCTTAGTATACCTGTATTCCTTGGTAGTTAATTTTTTGTAGGATAAAACCTACAACAGCTCTTTCTATTACGTAGGGCTTTTTAACACTGCATTTGCTGATTTTGATAGCAGAACTATTTCAATACTGATTAATCAGGGATTTTTGATGGCATTTTGGGATTAATGGTATCAATTTTCATTCATACTTTCTTGCTGGAATTCTTGCTTTGAAGCCTTTTTGTTTAAAATTATTTCTAGCATTAGGATGCTAGGCTTTTTTACTAGTTGCCTAATTAAAGCCCAAGTGATTTAGACGTGCTTAATTTGAGTTATATAATATGACATGTAAGTGAAGTTGAGTGTCTATGTCCCTTGTAGACAAGAGGGGCTGCTGAATTGGGCCAAGCTGAAATATGAATTAGTCTGGTGAATTCTCTGGTGGATAATTAGTATCAACTGGCAAGATGGTGCTTCAAGATCTGTGAGATTTTTGCTGCATGGTATATGATGAATGCATTTATGCCAGTAACAGGCTGGAGATTATGGAACTCTGGGGATAGGTGATGAGTCAACAGAGATCTTGTGGGTCAGGGCCAAAGGGAGAACAGTGGTGGGGGACATTACTGTGGGGATCTGATAAGGGCCACCTATCAGGAAGACTCTGTGGATGAAGCTCTCTATAGACAGATAGATAGGAACAGCTTGAACTTCAAGAGAGCAGACTTTGGCCTCTTCAAGAGCCTGCTTAGTAAGGTTCCACTGAATAAAGCCCTAGAGGGCAGGAGTGCCAAAGACTTCTGCTTGATATTCAAGGATCACCTACTCCTTGATTCTCTTGTGAGATGGGCCAATGACAACCCCATGAAGTTCAACCAAGCCAAGTGAAAGGTCCTACACCTGCGTAGGGGCAATCCTAGGCACAGCTACAGTTTGGGTGGGCAGAGAAGAGATTCAGAGAAGCCTTGGGGAGAAGGACTTGGGGATATTGGTTGAAGACAATCTGAACATGAGCCGGCAGCGTGTGCTCGCAGCCCAGAAAGCCAACTGTATCCTGGGCTGCATCAAAAGGAGCGTGACCAGCAACAAACCAGAAACAGTCTGGGTAGGGCAGCTCCCGGATTTACGGTGGGAGGAAGTTAGGAGTGAGGAGAAATGAATGGAGATGTTGACTTTTGGAGATGCATGGTTGATGCCTTCAATCCTACTCTGGGAGTAAGATGAGACTTTGATTAGGGGCAGCCTACACATATCTTCTGTGACTAATGGTTTTTCTATGGACAAGACATTGCCTGCCTGTTTCATGTTCAGGGAATGAAGATGACACTGCCATTACCTGTGCAAAGGGAATGCAGGGAAAAGGGGGAGTAAAGCAGATGTAAATCAGATGGTTTTTGACTCTTACAGAGCCAAGAGCCTGCTGAAATTCTGTTCTGATCCTCTTTCAGCACTTGCTAGCCTCACATGTTTCTTTGTCATCTTACCTTCCTGATCTACTGATGATGACGGTGCTAGACTGGGCACACAGAAACTAGAGGGCTGCAGCCTCTGTCCTCCTAAGTATCTGGCAGGACTTCTCTGTGTCCCAGAGATCTTAGGCGAATGGCCCCTATCTGGCACATGAACCATATCAGATTCACCTTTCTGGAATACAGACACAAAATTCCAATTAACATTTCAGTAGCAGCAATGGGGCTTGAAATGATCTGTAACTGAATAATGCTATACTCACTGTTTAACTAGAACCTTTTCTGCATGCCAGTGGCATGTGAAATTTGAAGGAAATATGAAAGAAAGCTGTTAGTGAAATTTATATTAAAGTTCAGAAAACTATTAATGAGCAATTTTTTTTACTAAAATTCCTCTAAGAAACCTATACATAAATGAAACTCATTTAAACGCTTGAACTAAAAATGACTGGGATACCGTGCCTTAATTACTTTTTTTAAAATATGCAAAACTCCTTCCTTTTGCCTTCAGAATAAGAAATAACAACATTCAACTAAATACAAATTGTCAAGGACAATTTTAGAAAGAAGTGTAAATACAGATTTATAATGGAAAGTGACTGCAATGTAAATAGAAATGTTTCTGTCTTTCATTAAATCTTCTGCAGACTATTATATTTACATTAAAAAAGCCCCAGAATTAAGCAATAGTTGTGAATTTCCTTAATTAATTATCTCTCTCAGCTGATACACCTGCTTCCTACCTCTCTATTTTCTTTCAGTGTTCATCCTAACCCTTGAAATGCCTCGGTAGCTTGAAAAGTAACTGAAAAAACCCCAACTACTACAAAAAGCTACATCAAGGTACCAAGGGCAAGTTTTTAACTACTCTCAACTTCTCAAAAGGTCAAGGCTGAGTAAGACAAGGTCTTACATGAGTAACAGCTTTTTTATGTTTGAAAACTTTTGCTTTATTTATTTCCTTATATGAAAATAAAATGAAAATAAAAACTCCAAACCAATTCCATCCCAAAACCACATTTGTGAAAACATAAGGTTGAGAGTATAGTTAGCACATTAAAAGGATATAATAATGAAAACAAGCATTATAAACTTAAAATACTAAATTGCCACTATCGTACCTGAAATAAAGTCAGATGTGTGAAGGCATGGAAAAGTATTCAAATGCCACAAACCTTTGCTGGGCTTTGTGTGACAGTGTTACAATAGAACTGAGATTGATCGTTAATGTTATGTTGAACATTGCTACGGTCTATATACTTCTACAAATTCTTTTTCAAAGCATCAAAACCCTAGAATAAAATTGTATACTATTAAACATGTGATGCTGGGTTTTGTGAAAAGGTCTTTGCAAGTCTCAGGAATACCTTTTCTGTGGGCTAATTTAACTGAAATCAATGTACAGGGTACAGCTGTTTCCTCTGAGCTTGCTTTGAGGTTGGAGCTGATATTCCTGGGTTTAAGAAAGACGAAAGTTGTTTGCAAAAGCTATGCAAATGAGAATATTAAAAAAAAAAAAAAAGTCTGATCCCTCTTCAGGAAGATAGACCGAACCAAACTGAACAAAACAAACAAAAGGCTCTAAAGTGTAGCTTACAGCAGGCTTCATTTACGCACATTATAATTCTACCCCCACCACTTCTACACGGTGATGTCTAATCCTGTGCTGAGATTAGGAGCAATAACCAGATGAAGAAAAGGATATCATGGACATAGCAAAAGAGTTATGAAGTTCATGTATAACAATCATCTGTGTATTAAGAATACCAAAACAATAAAAGTCTGATTATGCTGTCAACTATTCTGTTAAAAGCTAATAAAATACTCTGCTGAAGCTGACTCATATAACTAACAGGTTGCAGATTTCAACCATAAAGAAATATTATTAGTTATATTTATAATATAAGACAATAGTAATTTTGTATTCTTCATATGGAACTGTTCTGTACTTGCATTCTTCAAAATGTCTGTCACAGACGAATATAATCCATTTTACAGATGAAATGAGGATTCACATAATAGATACATTGTAATTATGACAAAAACTACAATATGATCATAGAATCATACAATAACTCTGGTCAGAAAGGACCTTTGGTGTCATCTGGCCCAACCCAGAGAAGGGTTGACTTTGAATTGAGATCTAGCTCTGAAATTCGACCAGGTTGTATACAGCATTTTCTGGTTGAGTTTGGAACATCCCCCAAAGAAAGAAATTCCACGGCCTCTCTGGGCAACCTTTTCTGATGTCTGATCACCTCATTGTGAATTTTTTTCCTAATATCAAGTTGGAATTTTCCTTCTTTCAACTTAAACCTATCACTCATTGTCCTTTTGCTGCCCACCTCTGAGAAGAGTCTGGCTCTGCCTTCTCTGTAAATGTCCTGCTAGGTAGTTGAAGAGAGTGATAGTTCCCCTCTTGGTCCTCTCTTAAGAGATCCCTTGATGTTTCTTACATGTGAAAAGAGGATGATTGTTTCTAACTTCTTTCAAGTGTACATGTTTCTAAAAGTACATTTTGCAAGCCTTACTACTTTAAATAGCAGGTGGTATAGACCATTCTACTAAACTTGTGAGTCCCTAAAAGTGTGTAGAGTTAAGTAAATTCCCTTTACCCCATATTGGTAATCTAATGATGGTGCACTCAGCAGCATGCTAAACTTTGATGGCTGTACTTCATTTTGTGTTCAATAAAAGATAACATGAGAGATCATTAGAGTAACTATGTCAGATTAAATGTATTTTCTTGTACAAAAGTCAAGTCCCTTCAGGAATCATTGCAATTTACTTTGTCTCATGGAGAACAATATTTTCCCGCTAGACCTCAACACAAAGGGCCATTACAAAATGCAATTCATATTTCATATGTTCAGAAACGTTCAGCACAAATTACAAATGGAGACTTTAGTGAAGTATTTATGTTCTGTTACCAACAAGATATGT